TTGAGACCATACTAGAAAGCAAGATTCTCATAAGTTCAAATGGAAAATGAAATGATATGGAAAGGATAACAATCAAATAAAACTATATAAAAATGAAAAAGACATCAGGAAAGAAAAAATACTTACAAAAAGAGCCAGAAGCTGTATTTTAGGATTTTTAGTGCCTAGACGCTTCTTGAGTACCTTCATTGCATCTTTTGCTTGGCTGCAATACCAGTTCAGGATGAAATCAAGTAAAAACCTCAAAACGTTCATCATAGTATCACACATTCACTCCTCTAATGAGGATCTAGAGGACCTAGTTTATAATCTAATTAACTTGTAGCATTCTTTTTTTTTTGTACATCAGCATCAGCAGCACCTTGTTGGTGTCCTTTTATATCACATATCATTTCTTAGTAAGAAAGTTAAATGTCAACCCCATGCAAGAGTGCTTGTTAGAGAGAGTATATTATATGTAAATTAGATTAAAGGACATTACAGTGAAATACACTATGTAATTAATTGTTTTTTTTATCTATTTTAGAAAACATGTATATATAGAACTTTAACATTCAATAGAATACACATTCAATCATTCTTAATTTGACATTAGAGTTCTAGGCAAAAACCCTAGGCTTCCCTTGCAAACCCTAATCGGCCTTTATTTTTTAAATAAGACACAAGACCAAAACAAGTATAGGTCAGCACTACTCATCCTCTAAGTTGGCATAAATTTCCATTGATCTTAGAAGCATGCTAAGTTCCAATAGTGAAAGATGGTATTAAAACAAAGATCCACAGCTTTCGAGAAAAAGATTCACACAAATATGGGAAAAAGAGAACTTTAGTTGTAAAAATTTCAAACAACGGCCTCAAATTTCAGTTGAAACAGTAGAATCGGCTTCAAATTAACCAGCAGTTTACACAAGATCACTAACACAACATGCTGCCAACAAGGAATGCAATGAAGAAAAGCAAACTCTCTATTCCACAACTAGCACATCGAAGCTGCCAAAAGTCCATCACTTGTAAAACATTAAAACCAACAAAAATGCACCAAGTATGAAAAATTGTCAAAAATAAAGAATGATACCTAGGATCCATGTTGATGATATCGCAAAGCTCAATGTTGATAGCCCAGTCAGGACCGATCAACATATCATTGGTTGCCCTCTCGGCACAGGCAGCAGCGTTATTAGCCATGCTATCCGATCCTCTTTTTAAGTGCCAAAACTCCTGATCGTTCTGTAAGCAAAATCTGTATTACAATTCAGTCTCAAAATACAGCCAATAAGAAAAATTTGAGGTGCGCTTTATTACTTCAACAGAACAATCGTAAGATCGCATCAGAAACCAGCAAATAAAACCGGGAATAAAATTTCAGAAAGAACAGAGAGCTAGATGAATCAAAATTAAAAGCAAAATCAAGTAAACCCCAAAAGATTTTGGACCATATAACATATTTACCTGACTCTTCCCAGAAAAAAAAAAAAAAGAAATACATATATATATGTATATAAAAGACGCGGCACAAGGATAAAAACTTCACTGGATATCCTTAAACCCACTTACCAAAAATGAAAAAAACCATCTAAATTGCAGGATCAAACCCAAAGAAAGTCAATTATATCTGTTTTCTTGATCTTAAATCTTGTTTTATTACCAAACGGAAAACAGAATCAGATAAGAAACAAGATTTTAACAAAGAAGAAAAAAAGGGGCAAAAAGAGACGAGACGGAAACAGAGAATTCGAAGACAAACCTTGAAGATTGAGTAGATGAGGATCCCGCGAGAAGGTAAACCCTAAAAAGCTGAGAACAGATAGAAAACGAGAATCAGAAAGAGATAACCAGATTTTGTTACGATAGATGTATGTAGAAATGGTTTCGTTGGTTTAATTTATTTGGTCATTTGGTAATAGTTTCTCTGCGTCGCCTTCCCTGTTTGGAATCGACTTGGACTTGGTATTTCCAAGAAATAAAAATTCAAAGTTTTATGAACAAAATAATAATAATAAATTGTATTTTTCGTTTAGTTTCCTAATCACGGGTTTGTCATCAAATGTTAATGTGACAGCCTGTGACGCGAGAATTCAGTTGATGGGTGACCATAAGTTGGCTTTACTTTGGTTCTAAATAGGTGAGCGGTGGACTCGCTGACCCATTGGTATGTCCTCGAGCCTTTACAAGCCAAAAACAAAAAAAAATTAAATTCACCTTAGAAACCAACTCAATTGAATTTACATGTAAGATCAAAAATCGAAATGATAAAAATATATATATATATATATATATTAACGTATATCCTAAACCATAAACCCGAAATCAATAAAATTCTATTAGTTTTCTTGATTAATATGCTCGGTTGGATTAGTTTTAATCGATTTTTACTCTTTTCTAATTTAAAACCAGATGTTTACGAGAATTGGGTAAAATGAGCAAGAACAGAAACGGGTAATTTGAATGATTTATGCACCATATCAAATTCACGGGTAAATTAATTTTATTTGTTCTATTTTTCTTTTTGCTAAATAAAAAGTACAAATTAATTGTGTTAAAATAATGAAGTTAAACACTTAATGATAAATGGTTTGGTTTGCTAATGATGATTAATTGTGTTAAAATACTCGGTTAATTTCTAACTTCCAATTGCAGCATCGAAGTTGTGTATTTAATTTTATACGTACTATATGTATATGTGTGTATGAATGTTAGAAATACACGTAGACATAAATATTTGACCATGGTTTGACTTTTTTTGAGAAGTTGAATGAAACATAAAATTTGACTCGTAAGCGCGTAATTGACAAGTAAATGAAGCCGAACCAGAATGTGACCCAGCGGTTCACCATCTAGGCCGACCTAGTTCACCATCCAAGCAATTATGCGGCAAAAGGAAAGAAAATTCATAGACCGACCCCACCCTTTAAAAAATTTACGAATCGAACTCATCGTCTTTACTCCATAAAAACTACGAGATTACCAAAATTCATAAATCAACCCAAGTATCTCTACCCCGTAAAAAATTCATGAACCGAATTCATCATTTTCACCCCATAAAAATTATAATATTATCAAAATTTATGAACCGACCCCATCATCTCTATTCCCTAATAAGAACTACGAGATCACCCCACTAATAGTTTGCTCAAAATACTGAAAAACTCATGTTATTTAGAGTTAAAATTGAATCGAACCGGATAGTATCAAGAATTTTCAATCATTAGATTTTAGATTATAATAACAAAAATATTGAAAATCAAATTGAGAGTAGTACAAAATTTAAACATTTAAGTAATGTTGACCTTTGATAAAGAACCTTCTTTATAGCTTAAAACCAGGGAATTTGTGCTGATTAATTAATTTTGGCTTATCGCACTGACTGACCAAACCAGTCATCAAATAAGCTTGTAATGTCCCACATTCATCATCATCAAAAGAAAAAAAGAAACCCATAAATTACATATTATACACAATTTTCTCAAGTTGAATCCTTTCTGCAAATTTAAACAAGACTCATCACCTCTCATTCAAGGAAGAAGAAACCAAGTCTGTAGATATTCATTATAAACAGCAATTTGTTTTTCTTTTCCTGTCATAGTTCTGTATACCAAACATTATTGTGATAAATACTTACATGGCAAACTCCAAACCCTGAAAAACCAGCTTCTATATTCAACTAGTTTAATGAGTAAAACGGATAAAAGGCCAGCAACCGCCATCGCCATGCCTGCATTACAATCGAGAATCAAATATTACAAGTTGGGTAAAATTGATTTACAGGCTTAACATTTTAGATCCATGGTTTTTGTTTCCTGTTGCTATTACGTTTGGAATGATAGATATGTCAAGGCAGTGAAAATTTTGGACAGGTGAATTCTTTTCTACCATTCTAAGAATTTAAACTAAACTCAGAGAGTACGAAGTTTTGGGTGTGTGACAACTGATCTCAGTAAGGAAAGATTGAAATTTATATCTGATTTTTCTTCCTCCCCTGTTTCTTCTTAAGACCCAAAATCTAAAAAGTGAAATCAGAACAAATCACACTATATGCCTCACCTAAATCAGGACAATTATATGTAATTCATCAAAATCTTCCATGAGGATATACCTGCTGTTGTTACTGCTGCTGCTGCCGCTGCTGCTGCCAGTGCTTTTGGTGCTTCCGCTGTTAGTAGTACTGTATTCTCCACTCTCACTCTCAGAAACAGACGCAGAAAATCTCTTTTTCCACCACTCGTTTTCTCCACCCTTCGCTGATCCATCAGACACCGAAGGCCTCGGAGAAACTTTGCCCGTCGAAGAATCCACCTTCTTCTTCGTTTTCTTGGACCCCAAGCTAGCCGGAAACGCCATTTTCAGAAGAAAACCCCCGTTCTCTACACTCCCACTTCTCTTCATCTGTGAGTTTTTGTCATTCCTCCTCTTATTTTCCATCGCCCCCGCTCTCCGCGTATTTTCATCGAACGTCTTGCCGTCTTGAACAAGCTTCTCTTGTCGCGTTTCCACCATCGGCTTCTCTACAATATCTTTCAAGGAAAGCTCGTAGCAGGACTCGGGCATTCTACTAACCATCTCCATCAACTCCCTCTGTCCTCTGACAATTGCTTGTGCCTTTGATTTCGGTGATAGGCATCGGTAGTGGTTTTGGCGATGATGCGGACTGGTATGCGGACTGTTATGGGGACTGGTATGCGGACTGGTCCTCCATAAAGGAGGTGTAGACACGCCGGATGACTCCTCCTCTTCTTCCTCCACAAATCGAGCTCCCGCAGTGTTCCAATTTTGATATGTGGCATAACTTGGATTAGGTTTAAGAGTGGAATTCGGAAGAGGAGAAGAGCGTCTGAGGTGATCCATAAAGAGTCGATGGGATTGGGTGGATTCTGTAGCAGGATCAAACATGGTTACGTATCCCGAGAAGAAATTGAAACAGGGTTTGCGGATTGAAGATGAAGAGAAGTCGGTGTAGAGGCATTATCATCACCCACTCCTTATTACTCGCTTTCATAATTTCCTTTTTTTTTAAAAAATAAATAAATTAATTTTATTTATTTATTTATTTTGATCTTATAGAAAGTCAAGGGTTTTGTCTTTTGAGAGAGCTTTGGCTTTTGTTTTCTTTTTCTTTTTTCTTTTTCCACGTGGACCAATTTTATTCATATATTTATTCGTTAAATGCGAATACCGCTCTCCTCCCGTTCGATCGAACCCTTGTTACTGTAAAATTAACATATTCGGATTCAATATATTCATCGTAAATAAAATAAATATGCTGATTAATCGCCGAATGCTGACTTCTCTTTAACAATAAATTTCTATTCTTATGTTCAACTATCGAATGATTTGATATCATAACGACTAATTAATATTTTTTTATTTTTGTATCTTTTTATATATATATATATATTTAATTACGATCAACAAAATTAATTGCATTAAATAATTACAACTTTAAAAGCAAATAACTTAATTAATTTTGACTTTTTAAATTAGTAAAGGAAACTAGAATTTACACTACAAATAATTATTAAATGCTTTATTAATACTTAAAAATATTATTAATGATTTTTAATAAATTACGAAAATATTACTTTTATTTTTTTATTTTTAAAAATAGCTTTTTTTAATATTATTTATACGTATAAATTTTTAGATTTTTTTTTTTAATTAGAGATAAAACTTATTTTGAAAAAGTAAAAGTCATCGGAATTTTTTAAATTTTTTAAAAATTTGTTAAATACAAAATTGAGCAGCAATTAGCACGCTCACCCCTTTTCTTAATCTCAGACTATATATATATATATATATGTATGTATATGTATATATTGGATGTATGTAATCTTTTTAACGTATCTAAGAAGTTTATATTTATTTAATTAGTTACAATATAAATATCATTATCAAGAAAAAGAGAATCCCGAAAAAACCCAATAAGATAATACCAAATATGCTTACAGGATCTAATTGCCACTGATTGTGTTTGACTCAGCCAGACCACTTCCAGGTTTCAGGCTTTTACTTGACTCCATGTCTTGAAGGGTTTCTCGAGTGAGATGCAAGCAAAATGGAATATATATATATATATTAAAGATGGTTTGTGATTCATAGTTGAAATTTTGAATAACTCTTGATTCAATTCTCTCTTTTACTTTTAACCAAGGGAGCCCCACTTGATTGCCAATAATTGATGTTAATCATACCTTTTTATGGAAGCCATTGTTGATGACTCTTGCCTTCCACAATACCCAAATCCCACATCAAACTTACAACTTCAAAATGATTTCACATTTCCCATTTTTCTTTCGTCTGATACTAATGATCCCAACTTGAGAATTGGGAAGGTGTATTCAACAATCTCCCCAGCTGCAACCTGGATTCTTTTTCACTTGCTTCTTTCTCATTAATTTTCTTACTAATGCTGATCTTTCCCACTCTCCAGAGGTGGCAAACATTGTGGATAGCTGTATATAAGCGCCTGAGTTCTCGGGATCGAGCTCAATAATCTTCTCTGCCACCTTCTTCCCCAAAGCTTTATCTCCATGCGCAGCACAACCTCTCAAAACCGATGACCACATGCTTGCATCTGCTTCGAAAGGCATATGTTGTATAAGATTGACTGCTTTCTCAAGGCTACCGGCCCGGGAGAACAGATCGATCATGCAAGAATAATGTTCTATTCCTGGATCAACATGGTAGTGCCATTTCATTGCTTCAAACCATTTCCATCCCTCTTCTACCAATCCACAATGATCACATGCAGACAGGACCGCTGTAAAAGTAATATCCGTTGGTCTAACACCAGCATTCCTCATTTCCTTAAATAAAATAAGTGCTTCAAATCCATGACCATTTGTTGCATAACCCATTAACATTGAATTCCAAGAGACTTCATCTGATTTAATCATAGTGTCAAATATTTTTCTACCACACTCAACTAAACCACATTTGCAGTAGAAATCAACAAGGGAAGAAGAAATTATCTGATCAGATTGCAATCCAATTAGAGTAGCTCTGGCAAATACCTGTTCACCAAGTTCGAGTAGAGAAATACTAGCACAAGCACTGATAACACTGGCCAGGCTAAACTTGTCAATCTTCAAGTCCATATTATTCATCCTGCAAAAAAGATGTAATGCTTCAATTGGACAACCATTTTGACTAAGACCTACAATCATTGAATTCCATGATACTAAACTTCTAACCGGCATTTTCTCAAAAATTTGTTTTGCGTCTTCAATTCTTCCACAACTGGAATAAATTGTGATCATAGAATTAAGCAAAATTGTGTCATATGCCTTGAGTTCATGAAATAGTTGGCAAGCACTATCAGGGTTTCCGCACTTCGAATACATGTCAACCAACGCACTAGCAACAACAACATCGTCGTTAACTCCGACTTTACAAGCGTGGCAATGCATTTGTTTGCCATGTGTTAAATAGCCTAAACTGCAGCAAGCACTCATAACACTTGCAAGGGTAGAGGAGTCTTCCTGGACTCCATTTGCTCTCATCTGCTTGTAAATAACCAATGCTTCTGCTTCTTCATCACAGGAAACATATCCAGATATCATAGAATTCCAGACCACAGAACATTTACTACCTTTTCTGTAAAAAATTCTTCTAGCATCGTTCATTCTACCACAATTTGCGTAACTAGAAACCAATGCAGATAAAGAAAAGTCGTCTGGTTCTTTCATCAGATTCAAAGTATTAGTTGCACTGTCCAAATCCCCACATTTTCCATATAAGTTTACCAGCGAACTTCCCAAAACCGAATCAAATTCCAATCCATCAATCACAATACGCGCATGTATCTGCTTCCCGCAATTGACAGCTTCCAAGTCAGTGCACGCTCCAATAACTGTCGCCAATACAAACATATCATCACATGATCTCAATTCCTTAAAGAGTCTTACAGCATCTCCAGGACGTCCATTTCGAGCATAGCCATGAATAATCGAATTCCAGGCAACTCCATTTTTCCTGGGCATGTCATTAAATAAACTCCTAGCAATTTCTAGCTCACCGGCTTTTGCAAACCCCGAAATAACCATGTTCCATGAAAAGTCATTCTTGTGAGGCATCAAATTAAACAGCTCCAGCGACTTCTCCTTGCTTCCAGATTTCATGTAGCCCTCAATTATAGTGTTCCAAGAGAAACAATTTCTATGCGGCATTTCCTCGAATAGGCGCCACGCGTCACTCATGTTACCACAGCGCGAATAAAATTGCAGGAGGCGGTTACCGATAGTGAGAAGAGAACTGAGAAGACCCTTCTTAAAGAAAAGAAGGTGGAGTTGTTTACCATGGTGAATGGTATTCTGGTTGTTGCAGCATTGAAGAAGGCGTGCGCAGTGATGCACATCAAGATCCATGATTATTCATGAGATTTCTTGCATATCTCGGGACATAAATACTCAAAGATTGAAGAATGAGAGATGGGTTTTTGAAATGTGGCGGGAAGGATAATGGTTTAACAACCAGGAATAGCAGGGGGTAGATACCAAACCGGGAAGCTTTCAGTCCCGTTGCCTGTAGGAAGGGTTTATCTCCCTGCTCCGTAGCTTCGGCTTCGTCCTTACTCCTTCCTCGCATCAGATAATTGAATCTGACCCTTCAACAATTACAGTCGGTTTGGCAGCTGGGTATTTCTGGTTCAAGCAGTAAAATTAATCTTTCAAATAACTTTCCAGAAAAATTGTTGTTAGTGGAGAAACAGAAAGCGGATAGTAAAAATGGTGATAGTTTTGTATACAACGATAACTTACTAAAGAACTTGCAGGTACGAAAAGCCAAAACTAACCTAACTCTCGACCTTATAGACTAACATACATAACCATGAAATTGTGCCTACTCTCAACCTTCTATTCTATCCCCAACATTACAAGAATAAAGGTAGAGCAAATCTTAAGTTTGGTTAAGTTAATGACATTATTAATTTTAATTACTACTAATAACTATTAACCTAATACTTCCCCTCAAAATAGATTATGTATGTTAATTAACTATTTCTTATTTATATCTTATATGTAAATTCGAATTTATACATTATAAGATCGATCAGTTTGAATATGACGAAACTCATTTCAAATCCGTCCCCTTACCGTATCTAACTCGTGTGCAGGCCCAATGGCTATCTGGCTCGGAGGATGGAACGTAATAGATAGAAATAGCATTACTAAGTTGAAAATTATTGGCTAGCAAGTAGCAACACAACAGCACGACTGGTTCTCCCTTGCTGCTTTCTGGACTGGACGCGTGGGTACGTACAGGTGCAGCCACATTAGGTATAAGCACAAGTAACTTGAAAGTCTCCTGTCCTATATAGTCAATGACACAGTATGCATATGATAAATAGTATGCTTTCTTTCGAAGGCTTTATTTATGAGCAGATCATATATATAAATCTACTCCAAGCTTAACAAATGCACGCAGCACATGTATGTTCCCATTAATAAAGCAAGTACGTGGGCCTCACAAAATCTTGATATCGTACTTTTCTTATCTGATTGACCAGTGTTTATCTGTAAGATCTTTGAATTTAGCCGAAACCATTTATGCCCAGTTGATAAAATTTGGATTGGATCGAAGTACTTTTCTGGGTAATCGCTGTCTTGATCTCTACTTCAAGCTCGGCGCACCATATGATGGTTTGAGAATTTTTGATTGCGTTACCGAGAAAAACACTATATCCTGGAACATTAGTTTAAATGGTTTATTAAAATTTGGTCATTTTTGGGGGGCATTGTCTATGTTCGATGAAATGCCGGAACGAGATGTTGTTAGTTGGAACTCAATGATCATGGGCTGTAAATCTTGTGGATTTTCTAGTTATGCGCTGAAGCTTTTCTCGGACATGCAACATGCGGGTGTTAGACCGAGTGAGTTTACCTTCTCGATTCTGACATCTCTTGTGTTGTGTTCTCTCCAGGCCAAGCAGATTCATGGTAGCATGATTCGTAGAGGTGCTTGTTTTTCAAACGTGGTGCTTGGGAATTCATTAATTGATATGTACGGGAAACTTGGCCTTGTTGATTATGCTTTTGGTGTGTTTCTGAGTATGAGTGAATTGGATATCATCTCCTGGAATTCATCGATTTCAAGCTTTTGTAAGTGTGGCCATGGAGAATTGGCATTGGATCAGTTTTGTTTGATGAGATCCCTTGGTTATTCCCCTGATGCGTACACTGTTTCCACTGTTATAACTGCCTGTTCTACTCTACAAATGGTGGAGAAGGGTAAGCAAATCTTTGCTCTGTGTATAAAGGTGGGATTTCTTTCTAATGCCATTGTTACGAGTGCCACTATTAATCTGTTTTCCAAATGCAACAGATTGGAGGATTCAGTTAAGCTTTTTCAAGAACTAGACCTCTGGGATTCTGCAATATGCAATTCAATGATTTCAGGCTATGCAAATCATGGTTTTGTGGAGGATGCTCTACAGCTTTTTGTGCTGAGCTTGAGAGAGGGGTTAAGACCAACAGAATTTACAATCAGTTCGGTTCTAAGCTCGGTTTCCACCCTTGCACTGGAGCAT